CTCGCGCGCAAGACACCTCAAGTGTCTCGCGCGGATCCGAATAGCGGGTTCTTGGGCCTTGTTTTGACCTTGTTTCCTTGGTATAAATAGGAACTCGTTCCTACGATTTCCTAGAGGGTTTTCTGAGGTTTTAGATAGCTGCAGACAAAGTTTTTCGGATCTAAAAGGTGAGATATTGAGGAGAGAAAAGAGAGAGAACTTGGCGCGATTGTACAAGAAAGATGTCAGTTTTCTTGGGTAAAATCGAAGCCTCTTCTCTTTGGGACGAGCTCGCTGGTTGTGCAAGTCATCAGTGTTCTCCTTCATAATGGAATCTCCCTTCACCCCTCCCCGTGAACGTAGGCAAGTTTGCCAAACCACGTTAATCTCGTGGCTTTATTGTTTTCTGTGTGTTGGCTATTGCTTGTCGGTTTCCTCGATATTCAGACCTAGATCTGATATTGAGAAGAGTGTATATCTCACCCTACTGAGATATATTACTTCTGTTCTTGTTTCCATTGCAAAACAGGAACATCAAGATTGGCTTGTGTTTTGTGAAAACAAAAGCCAATGCTTTCTCTCAAGGTGATTCGCTTCCGCGGCGAGGTGAGCGTGTCGGCACCCACCAACAATTAGTATCAGAGCCCCTTGATCAAATTGGTGGTGGTAGAACTTCCGATTTGAGGTGGTGCTTGGTTATTGTGTGGTGCACACAAGGTGTTTGTTAAAATTCCTGAGAGAAGCGGATTTATTAAAACAAGCGAAGAATGACGTCTACCAGTAAAACAGTCAAAGTGGGAAAGTATAAGATTGAAAACCTCAATGGGAAGAATGATTTTTCCTATTGGAGGATGCAAATGAAAAACTCATTGATTTCGCAGAAATTACGCAAGGCTTTGGTAGGAAAAGAAAAGAAGCACAAAGATATGTCAGATAAGAATTAGGAAGAGTTAAATCTCGAAGCACGAGCGTTGATTATCATATACCTTGAGAGGAATATAGCTTTCTTGATGGATGGAGAGGAAACGGTTGCGGGTGTGTGGTCAAAGTTAGAGAGTACCTTCATGATGAAGAGTCTAACAAATCGGATCTACTTAAAATCCAAATTGTATACTTGCAAGATGGAGGAAGGATCATCAATCCGGTAATACATCAACAAGTTCGATAGGATCATATCATATTTGAAGGACATTGATGTGACAGTAGAAGATGAGGATCAAGCACTTCTGCTACTTCTTTCTTTACCGAAGACTTATGAAAACCTGATACAAACATTAATGCTTGTATGTGACAATTTGAAGATGGATGAGACTAGAACGGTGATTCTAGCGGATGATCTTCGAAAAATTACAACTAGTGACATGGCTACTAGTGGTAACAAGGAGCAGGCACAAAGACTGTTTGTAAGAGGAATGCGCAATGAGCAAGGAAAAGGCAAGGGCAGAATGTCTAGATCGAAATCGAGACCTCTTACAGGAAGACCGTGTTTCTAATACGGTGATCTTAGGCATTTTAAGGTTGACTGTCCTAACAAGAGAATAGGTGGGAAGAAGAACAACAATAAGACCGAGAGAAGAGAAGGCAAGGAAGAGGCGAGTTATGTCTCGGAGGAAGGGATCGAAAAAGAATGCTACACCGTTACGTGTGGTGAAGATACCTCCGGTAAGTGGATTCTTAATTCAGGTTGCTCTTACCATATATGCCCAAATAGGAAGTGGTTTACTGCCTATAGAAGCATTGATGGTAGAACCGTATTGATGGGGAATAATCATGTTTGTAAAATGGTGGGACTTGGTGATATCAAAATCAAGATGCGTGATGGAGTGGTCAAAACCCTGACGGATGTACGGCATATTCCTGACTTGCGGAATAATATTATCTCAGTTGGTGCTTTGGACTCCGGTGACTGCAAGATAGTAACAGAGAACGGAGTGAAGAAAGTTATTCGAGGTTCCCTGGTAGTGATGAAGGGCATTCGTTATGGTAACCTATATACTCTCTCGAGTACGACAGTGATAGGAGATGCAGCGGTTGGAACTGATGGAAGTAATGAGACCCATGTGAGCACACTCGGTTATGACATAGGTGGCTTGGGCACATATCAGAGAAGGGTCTAGATCTGCTTAGTTAGGAGGGTTTGCTGAAGAACATGAAGAAACATTGCATGGATTTTTGCGAGGATTGTGTGTACGGAAAGGCGCATAGGGTCCAGTTCTTGAAAAGCAAGCACAAGAGCCAGAGGTATATTAGACTATATGCATACAGATGTTTGCGATCCAGCTCCGACAACTTCCAAGGGCGGTTCCAGGTATTTTGTCTCGTTTATAGATAATCATTCCGGATAGGCTTGGGTTTATTTTCTTAAGAATAAGAATAAGGTATTCGAGACATTCAAGAAGTGGAAAGCAATGGTTGAGAACAGAACAAGCAGGAAATTGAAGACACTGAGATCTGATAACAGTATAAAGTATACATATGGTGCTTTCAAGAAGTTCTGTGATCAGGAGGGTATTGCTCGATACTGGACAGTCAGGTCTACACCATAATAGAATGGAGTCACAGAGAGACTGAACCATACATTATGGGAGAAAGCAATGAGTATGCGATCATATGCTGGTTTGGGCAAAGAATGGTGGGTAAAAGCGGTTGCTATAGCTTGTTACATAGTGAACCGATCTCCACATTCAACTTTGGATGGTGATTTACCCTATTGGGTATGGTCAGGGGAACATGAGATTACAATAGGCTCAGGATTTTCAGATGTACAACCTACTATCACGTCAATGAGGGAAAGCTTGATGCGAGGGCCAAAAAAGTAATATTCTTAGGGTATACAAAGGGCGTAAAAGGCTATCGCCTTTCATGTACATAAGATTCCAAGTTCGTGATCAGCAGAGATGTTACCTTTGATGAGAAATCCATGATAGCTTTATCAAAAGCTAGGGCATCCGAGGATGATGGTGTTAAGACTGTTGAGATTTTAAAATCTCAGGTGATTGAGATAGAACCTAAAGACTAACCAGGTTCTAGTCATGTTCAAGAGGAGAACCATGGAGACACTCGGGAAAGGAGTGATGATGATCTTGAACAGGAGGAGAATCAGCAAGAAAATGTACAGACACTACAAAAATAACAGCTCGAAGATAGTTTGGCTTCCACTAGGCCAAGGTGAGCATACAAGTAGGTTCAAAAGCTAGGGTCGAATAGCCTCTAAAGCACTATGAGCATGTAATTTTGGTTGGGTACGCACTCTCGGTGGAGGATGATGAGCCAGTCACCTTTAAAGAAGCTATACGGACAAGGATAGCGAGACTTGGTTGGCTGTGATGGAGAAAGAAATGGAATCTCTCCGGAAGAACCAAACATTAAAAGTGGTCTCATTACTTGTAGGGAGGAAAGATATAGGTTATAAGTGGGTGTACAAGAGAAAGGAGGATACTTCCGAGCTTGGCGGTACAAGGTATAAGGCTAGACTAGTGGCTAAGAGGTTTGCACAAAGAGATGGTGTGGATTACAATAAGATCTTTTCTCTGGTAGTGAAACATACTTCTATTCGGATGCTATTGAGTATTGTTGCTCATGATGATCTTGAGCTGGAATAACTCGATGTCAAAATGGCCTTCTTGCACGGAGACTTGGATGAGAAAATCTATATGCATTAGCCTGAGAGTTACAAGGCTGAGGATAAGGAGAATCTTGTATGTCGTTAGAGGAAATCACTATATGAATTGAAACAATCTCCTCGACAGTGATACAAGCGATTTGACTTCTATCTTCTTTTGTATATGGATGACATATTTATTGCTTCGAGAAGCAATATAGACATAGATAGGTTAAAATCTCAACTTGGTAAAGAGTTTGTGATGAAGGACATAGACGCTGTTAGGAAAATACTGAAAATAAAGATTAGAAGAGAACGAGCAAATCGACGATTGTTCTTGAGTCAGAAGGGCTACATTGAGCGGGTTATCGTAAGGTTTGGAATGCAAAGTGCTAAGTCAGTGATGACTTCATTGGCT